TTTAGTTTTTATTTATTAGATCCAAGGCTGTACGTGGACCAAGAATAGAATATTTTAAGAGATTTGGTCTTCATATTTAAATTTGCGAATAATGAAATATGTTTTGTAAAAATTAATTTTACCATACAGTTTAAACAAGGATCTTTACGTTTGTTGARGTAAACTTARATCAAATAATAATTTTGTTTATTTATTTGTTTACTCAGGCTGGTGTTTTGATCGAGCAAATATGGGCAACCAGAAAGTGATAATTCTTCTTGTTATTTGTCTTCTGCTACCCATTTTCATGGGTGTTTTTGCTGTTAATGAGGAKGATCAGAAGGTTCYCACTTCTTCTTTATTTCGTGGTTATGTTTGTCTTACTTTCTTGTGTAAAGTTGTACTCATTTTGTTGGATTTGTATTGAATTTATTGGCCAATAATTTTCATCATACGGAAAATTTCAGGATTTCTACATTGTTTACTTGGGAGATCTTCCGAGTAATAAAAATTCTCTGGCTGATATGCATTTGGAATATCTTGCAAGTGCAATTGAGAGGTTCTCTCTCTCTCTCTCTCTCTCTCTCTCTCTTGCTTATAATTAGTATAACTATATATTCATTTCATACAAAATTACACCTTAATTATTCTGGTGTATATATATGAAACAGTGAAGATGGTGCTAGGAGCTCAATCGTGCATAGCTATACGAAAAGCTTCAATGCATTTGCTGCCAAGCTTTCTGATGCTGAAGCAGAACGGCTGTCAAGTATGTAAYAAGGAAAAARCAAYAAGCCAATTAACTTACTTTTACTGTGAATAACGTAACATAAATGAAACTCGATTATTCTGAAATTTGATTCATTTTGATCTGTATAATATAGACATGGATGGTGTGGTCTCAGTATTCAAAAATCGATACCATAAGCTGAAGACAACGAGATCATGGGACTATCTTGGGTTTACTCAAACAGTACCAAGAAGTTTGAGCATGGAGAGTGACTTGGTTGTGGGCATGCTGGATTCAGGTAACTCAATTGATATGTATTCATTAAGTACTGGGTCAGTTATCAGAATCTTAATTGCTATGTATATATATATTCAGCAATTAGAGATCGATGTAGCAGAATAATTAACATATATTAATTATATTAGATGTTATCTTGGTTTGAAATGTAAATATTGATGGATCAATTCATTGTTCAATTTCAGGGATCTATCCGGACTCCCCCAGTTTCAGTGACAAAGGATTTGGTCCTCCACCACAAAAATTCAAGGGTAGCTGTGGCCCCTTTTCAAATTTCTCCTGCAACAAGCAAGTCATATATATATATATATATCCAAGCTCCCCTTTTAATTAATAGCTTACTTATTCTCTGCAACTGCAACTGCAAGTGTGTTTGTTGTAATTAATGATGGATGGATATGATTTATATTAATTGTTGGTCGGTTACGTTGTAAATGAATTAATTTGATGCAGTAAAATAGTTGGAGCAAGGTATTTCAACCTGAGTGGTCCTATCAGCGATTCAGATATCTTATCTCCCATTGACTCGGAAGGCCATGGCACACACACATCCTCAACTGTGGCAGGAAATGTAGTAAAGGGAGCAAGCCTGTATGGGATTGGTAAGGGGACAGCGCGTGGAGCTGTACCATCTGCTAGGATTTCAGTGTACAAAGTGTGCTGGGCGGTTGGCTGYGCGGACATGGATATTCTTGCTGCCTTCGACGCTGCCATCCATGATGGCGTTGATATCATCTCTTTGTCTGTTGGTGGTTTCGCTGGTTCATACATTTCTGATTCTATAGCCATTGGTTCCTTCCATTCCATGAAGAATGGGATCCTCACCTCAGCAGCAGCTGGAAACTCTGGACCTTCAGCTGCTAGTGTAAGTAATTATGCTCCATGGATTCTCACCGTAGCTGCAAGCACTACTGATCGAGGCTTCAGGAACAAACTTGTTCTGGGGAATGGCAAGTCTTTATATGTAAGTCGTTTAATTCCATCCATCTCCCTTTGTTCATTATCAGCTGCAGCATTCATCAGCTATATGTCTTTGTTTACTTAATTTCATTAATAATTGTTTTCTCTCTACAATTAATGCATGTGTCATGTGCTTAGGGAGTTGCAATTGACACACTGTCTCCAAACAAAAGTTTCTATCCTCTTATAAAGGGTGCTGATGCTGTGCTTAATACATCTGAATACGCGGATTATGCAAGGCAAGGCAAGGCAACTAACTCCATCTTAACCCATGCATTAATTATATTACGTACTCCSACTCCTTTCTTTTGTTAATTACATGCAGATCTAAAACTTTCATTAATTACCATTACCTAGCTGCTAGCTTGCTCTGAATTCTGATTGGACAAATCTTAATTTTTTTGGTTTAATTCTTCATATATATATATATATATATATTCCAATCCAACAACTTCAATGGCATTCACAACAATTAATTAATGCTTGTGTCTTGACTTCAGTAACTGTTACGATCGGGCAATGGACCCCGAGAAGGTGAAAGGAAAGCTTGTATACTGCGAAGATTTTGTTGGTTCAGCCGATTACAGTGTGCAGAAAATGGGAGGGGTTGGAACCATACTAGAATCAGATAATGCCATTTTTGATGCTGCCTTCATTTTCATGCCACCATCGACCATGGTAAACCATAATCAAGGGAAAATAATAATGGACTACATAAATTCCACAAGGTACGTAAATTCATGAAACCAAGCTCTATATAATACATTGATACTGTGTGTACTACTGTTTTCCCTTTCTTGCTCTGTTCAATTAACAGAACAACAGTGCTGACTTGTGTCATTAATTTCAATCTTYTGTTAATTGGGTGCAATTGTTCTAGTTCCCCCAAAGCCGTGATATTCAAAACCCAGGCCTTCAAAGTTGCTGCTCCATCTGTGGCTTCCTTTTCATCTAGAGGACCTAATCCTGTATCAAACAAAGTTCTAAAGGTAAAAGAAATGGGGCGTACATCAGATCTCCTTTATTGTAGAAAACTCATCATTCACCATCATCATGCAAGAAATTTATTTCTAGCTTTTGCCATTAACAATGACATCATTCTCTTGCTAGATATTGTGTGTGGCAATTAAATGGGTCACTTCACTTATTATTTCTTTGATGAATGATGTATCGATATTCCTTCTGATCTCATATTTTCTCAATTCA